ACATTCAGGATTCTTTTGTCTGCTGGACACATAATGCATGAGTACATAATTTTTAGGACAGGATTTGTTCAGTAGCACCTTTTTTTGCCTGTTGGGAAAAAATCAGTGGAGCAGCCTTAAGGGATAACATCACCAGATTTTGTCAGGACTTTAATAATTCTGTAATTGTATAATTCTACTGTAGGGAATTGCTGTAATTACCTTCCGTTGGATCTAATTCCCCATTGGCAGAAGTGTTTTCCCTTTCCAGACATGTCCTGTCTGACATTGAATTCTTCTTGAAAATGTAGTGTTGGACTTGTGGACATATCTTCAAGGAAATAGATCCCCATGAGGAACAAAATAGACACAGACATGCTTGATAAAATAGTGTATTCTATCAGTTTTCCTCTGAAACCAGAACTTTTATTTTTCCTGTTCTGTAATCACAAGATGCAAAACAAGACTAGTAAAATTTTCCCTTGACACTGTGATTATACTACAGTGATGTAGAGGAGGGTAAAAACACGTAAACATCACTTTTGTGTCATTTAAAATTTGAAATAACATTTACTCACCTTTTTTTAATCATTTATCTTATTCACTTGTTGGGATTTCCTGAAAAGTTAAAGTTGACATATCTTATTTTCACTGGGCACGGCTTCAGCTAGTTCTGTTCTGTTTTTGCACTGAAAAAATGACACTTTGAATTCACATGATTCACATGTGTGCTTGCAAATGAAAAATGTATTACACGTACACAACAACTGCCAAAACAAGTAAAAAGCAATCATGTTGATGTATTTTGTCTGTGTGTGCAGTCACTTGATACATTTGAATCATAACCAATTTTTTCAGTGTGACATCCGAATTAACCAACCAATAGCCATGCCTGTAACCCCTCTTCCTTCTGTGACAAAGTTTTCACAGTCCTCACCACCAACCCATCTCTTCCCTGTTTCTCAGTCCTATCTGTCAGTCCTACCAACATCCAAGGAAGGTCCGGCCTTCTAGCTCCAAGCAGAAGCCAGGCAGAACTCCAGCCAAAGTTCTCAGAATCCTCTCCGCTCCCTCCGTCTCAGCCTCCCCTCATACTACCATACCATACGATAAGTAGAAGGCATGGTCTGAACCGTAGTTTTTTGTTTTTGCGAAACCAATTTATAGAGCTACAACAAAAACACACCCGCAGGAAACAAAAGGGTATGTGCTGACAAACACATGAGGACATCTCACTTACTAGCTTCTAACTGAAAAGAAAACTGTTGAACAACTTTTAAAGATGTGATGCTACGAAAATTGATGATTTTCAGTCTATTTTGCTCAAAAAAGCTCACAGAGCAGGTAACTGTTTGCAGAATTGTGTTTCAAAACTGGTGCGTGGACGTGACTACACACGGTGAACAGTCAGTCATAACGAGAATGTCTGAGATCTGGGGACAGCCGTTAGAAATTTTAGGCTGAAAGTGGGTGGGAACATAGACTTCTTAAAGTGGGAACAAACTGAGGGGAACATTTTTAAACCAGTCCAATGCTGCATGAATGTGTAGCTCAAAATAGGGGGAGATGGTGCACTTGTCAACCTTGTACGATGAACAACAAGCCTCATTGAAGCTTCACTTCATTCCGGATGTTAAAAGAGCATGTAGGAATGTGCGGTGGGTTTTAAAGATGGCGTACTCTTGTTAGCAGCGGATTTTGGGACAATCCAGCACCAAAACTTTAACAGGTTGTCTCCAGACGTGTATTCTTGTTAGAAGATCACGTCTGGCCCTGTGAGACTAATAGCAATTTAGAATGTACCTGACAAAATCTGTGATAGTTATGGCCAGCTTAGCCTGCTGTAGATATCATCTGTGGCTGGAAAATCTGAGGATGAAGCTAAATTTTGTTTAAATGTTCTCGTGGTCTACTCTCAAATGTGAAAAGAACCAAGGTGATGATAGCATACCACTTGAGATATGGGCTTTTGCTATAATTTCGCAAACTCTCCCCCAGTAAATGCATCAGACCCACTTTTGAGTACAGCATTTCATTCTGGCCGTGAGCTAGAAGCATCTGTTTTTTGTTGCGAGTGTTATACCTTTAGAAACATGCAGAAAATACTGCTGGGTTTCATTCACGTTAAAGGCTGCGCCTTGTCTGGTATTTGTACAACTAAACACTTGTAGGGAACTGATACGTGGCATCAGAGTACATAACATAATTGGGTTTTATTAGAACACAACCTTGTCCAACCCTACCAGCTTCAGTGGGGGGCACCGCAGTGAGCAGTCAAATTTCTGAGAGGGTTGCTGCCACTCTAGCGCCACCCCCCCACCCAAGACAGCCCACAGCACTGGACATATAGCTAGAAATTATAGGTAGAATAAGATGGTACTGTAAAGCAATTTTAGTGTCTGTCAGTGGTTATTTTCGTATTAGACATATTCAACAGAAAGATATTATGACTTTGTATTGTGTAAATATTCCTGAAATACAATAAACCAAACTGCAGTGCAGCTCACACGAAATAAGAACAATACAGTGATTAAAAGGATGAAAAGGCATGCATAGTTTATGTGTGTAGTTATTTATCGTTCTGCATGTGATTGGGTGTGTACTGAAGTTCAGGGCTTACCCACCATCATCAGTCAGTGATGATGATTTGTGAAAGTTCGAGTGAATTTCATGGCGCATTGAATTGAAGCATCATAATTGAATCAAGCTGTGAATGTGAGGCGGTTAAACCCCTACTTTTTTACTTGCTTACTGTAAACCTGTAAAGGTTCAGCTTCTCCTAAATGAATGAATAAAAAATAAAAAACACAGAATGGAAACCCCAACTCAAATGTCTTCGCAGTATTTCAGAGAAGCTGCTGAGGAATTATGCACAAAATAGCATTAGGATCCTGGAGGGGGTCTAAACGCTCGCTTTACGTAGGAAGTTGGAAGCAGACGTGCCTCATAAAGCTCGACTGTTGTCATGGAAACGTGACAATGATATCACAGAGGCGGACTGTCACCTCCACTGAACCGGGCTCTGGTGCGGAATATGGTCCGTTTTAATCCTGCAACAATAGAACAGGAAATACCCGCCTGCGCACACACACACACACACACACACACACACACACACACACACACACACACACACATGCTGTATAAGTGTCTGTGCCTGTCCTTTACCCAAACGAGTGACAGCTAACTGGCACCATGCTGAACATTTCTCCACTACAGTGCTGCCCCAGCCTGGGGGCTAATACACAGAGCACAGCAGCCTAAAGACACAGCCAATAACTCCCTGAACCAGCTTACTGAGAGATTAGCATTAGCACTGTCTCTCTCCCCGTCTCTCTCTCTCTCTCTCTCTCTGTCTCCCTCTCTTTCTCTCTGTCTCTCTCTCTCTCGTTCTCTCTCTGTCTCTCTCGCTCTCTCTCTCTCTCTCTCTCTCTCCCTCTCTTGCGGTGTCTCTCCCTCTCTGTCTCTTTCTTTATCTTTGTCTTTTGAGAGAGATTGTCTGTCTATCTGTCTCTCTCCCAGTCTTTCCCTCTGTCTCTCTCTTTCCATCGCTTTCATTCTCTCTTCCTCTCTCCCTCTTTCTCTCTCTCTGTCTTGCTCTCTCATTCTCTCTCTGTCTCTCCCTCACTCTCTCTATTTTTGTTTCCTGTCTCTCCTTCTTTCCTTTTCTCTTTCTCTTTCTTTGTCTCTCTGTCTATCTCTCTCCCATTCTTTCTCTGTCTCTTTCCATTGCTCTCTCTTTCTTCTCTCTCTTATTTTGTCTCTGTCTCTAACTTCGTCTCTTTTTCTCTCTTTGTCTCTCTCTTTCACCCACTGTCCATCTGTCTGTTTCTCACTCTCTCTGTCTCTCACTCCCTCACTGTCTGTCTCTTTCCATCTCTCTCTCTCTCTCTTTGTCTTTCTTTGCCTCTCTCTCATTCTCTCCCTGTCTCTCTCCCCCTTCTCTCTCCCATTATCTCACTCTCTTTCTCCCCTCTCTCATTCTCTCCCTCTCTCTCTCCCCCTTCTCTCTCCCATTATCTCACTCTCTTTCTCCCCTCTCTCATTCTCTCCCCCTCTCTCTCCCCCTTCTCTAGCCCTCTCTCTCACACTGTCTCTCTCTCTCCTCTCTCTCAACTTCTCGCCCTAACTCTCCTTATCTCTCTTTGTCTGTCTATCTGTCTATCTCTCTCCCATTCTTTCTTTCTGTCTCTTTCCATTGCTCTCTCATTCTCTCTCTCTCTCGTTCTCTCTCTGACTGTTTCTATCTTTCTCTCTCACTGTCTGTCTGTCTTTCTCTCCGTCTCATTCTCTCTTGTTCTCTCTCTTGTTCTTTCTCTTTCTTTGTTTCTCTGTCTGTCTGTCTCTCTCTTCCATTCTTTGTCTCTGTTTCTCCTTGTCTCTATTTGTCTCTCTCTCTTTTTCTCCCTATCTGTCTGTTTCCCATTCATTCTTTCCTTCTGTCTCTCGCTCCTTCACTGTCTGTCTCTTTCCATCTCTCTTTCTCTCTTTTTCTTTGTTTGCCTCTCTTTATCTGTCTGCCTCTCTCTTTTTATCACACTCTCTTTCTCTTTCTCCCCACCTCATTCCCTCTTACTTTCCATCTCTCTCTCTCTCTCTTTCTCTCTCTCTCTCTCTCTCTCTCTCTCTCTCTCTCCCTCTCTCAGTGTCTCTCATCCTTTCAGTTTCATTCTCCTGCTCTCTTTGTCCTCAGAGAGTCTCCAGCCCGACTGCAGTATTAATGGAGTAGTTTCCTCAGCTCAATTAACCCGCGCTCGCAGAGTTCACGCGTAGCTTTTATATAATCTGGGTCAAACAGAGGCACCTTGTTCTGCACACTGTAACTGCTGCACACGCAGCGTTTGTTTGGCCTTGTGCTGAACCCTCAGAAGCATTTGTCCATTTTTAGACGCAGTCAAAGTGCTCGTGCAGGTGAGTTAGGTGATGGATAGCGACTGATGTGCGAGTTGTTTTTGTGTCGCCTCTGTGGATAACTCTGACAGTGATGGTGCGTGCCTGTGTGTTTTCTGTCTCTCTGACAGATAAAGTTCGACAGTGATGGCGTGTGTGTTTGCTGCGAGCTTCAGCACCAGAGCTCCAGCTGCAACAACCTGGGAGAGACGCTCAAGCTGAACCCACTGAGGGACTGCAACACCATCCGCCTGCGTTTGAAGGTGTGTATGAGAGATAGAGAAAGAGAGAGAAAGAGAGAGAAAGAGAGTGAGAGAGAGAGTGAGAGACAAGGAGTGTATATATTTGTGAATGTCTGTTTATATGTGTAGAACAGAAAGCAGTGATTTCTAAATCCACTCTGAACTGTATTTAAACTAAAATAGTAGAAATATGAGATTTTAATGTTTTACTTCATCAACTTTTGTTTGTCAACTTTTTTGTAAATATGCACTTATTTTGAAACTAATGCCTACAACACATTCCAAAAAAAGTTGGGGCGGGGCGATATGTGACTAGAGACTTTATAAAATGTGCCACTTTGCCAAAAAAATGCATCAGTGAATAATTCAGCAATTTATAAACAACGGGCCTCATTTACCAGTCGTTCTTATGAACTTTCTTCTTAAAACCCACATATGCAGTTTTCATAAACATTCTGACATTTACCAGTGTTTTCTTATTTGAGATTTATCTTTAGGTAAGAACAGAATCTACATACACTCAAGAGCACAAAGGTGCAATCGATTCTGTGGTTTAAGAATACATCATAAATCTGACATAGACCTTTTCTTAGGACCTTTCTCAAGAACAAATTTAACAACAATGTTAAATTATGAGGCCCATTGTTCATCAATGAGTAACTGCAAAGTAGGTATTTCACCCTCTACAGTGCATAATATCATCAAAAGATTCAGGGAATCCTGAGAAATCTCTGTGCGTAAAGGGCAAGGCTGAAAACTACAACTGAATGCCCCTGACCTTCGACCCCTCAGATGGCAGTTCATTAACTGACTTATTTGAACTCAAGCTCATCTGAAATTAACTGATGCACAGTGGAAACGTGTACTGTGGTCAGACGAGTCAACCTTTCAGATTGTTTATGGAAATAATGGATGTCATGTTCTCCAGGCCAAAGAAGGAAGTGACCATCCAGACTGTTACCAGCATAAAGTTCAAAAGCTCCTTTCAAGTAATTACAGGTCAAACTGACTTATCACTGCTTTTTGTTTTTAATAGCATTTCACATACTGTCTCAGTGTTTTTAGGATTGGGGTTGGTTTCCAAGACAGAAATGTCCAGATTTTTTTGGAAACCTTCTAACTTTATAACCTACAGTGTCAAGGTTAAGGTTAGGGTTAGGCTCAGAAACTTTTAGTAGTAGTAATATGTGTGTGTGTGTGTGTGTGTGTGTGTGTGTGTGTGTGTGTGTGTGTGTGTTTGAATTGCACTCATGTAGAAGTAAAAGTAAACTAAACACTTTATTGGGAACACATGTACCCCTACTCATTCATGCAGTTATCTAATCAGCCAATCATCTGGCAGCAGCACAGTGCATAAAATCATGCAGATACAGGCCAGCAGCTTCAGGTAATGTTCACGTCAGAGTGAGGAAAAAATGTGATCTCTGTGATTTTGACTGTGGCATGGTTGTTGGTGCCAGATGAGCTGGTTTCTTTAACTGCTGATCTCCTGGGATTTGCATGCGAAACAGTCTCTAGAGTTTACTCAGAATTGTGCAATAAAGAAAAAACAACCAGTGAGAGGCTGTTCTGCAGACAGAAATGCCCTATTGATGAGAGAGGTCTTTGGAGAATGGCTAGACTGGTTCAAGATGATAGAAAAACTGTGGCAACTCAGATAAACACTTTGTACAATTGTGGTAAGCAGAAAAGCATCTCAGAATACACAACACGACAAATCTTGAGGCGGATGGGCTACAACAACAGTAGACCACTGTCAGCCAAGAACAGAAAGTTGAGGCTGCAGTGGGCAGACACTCACCAAGACTGGGCAGCTGAAGACTAAAAAATGTAGCCTGGTCTAATAAATCTTGATTCTGCTGAGGCACACAGATGTAGGGTCAGATTTTAGCACCAACAGCGTGAATACATGCTGCCTTGTGTCAACAGTCCAGGCTGGTAAAGGTGGTGTAATGGTGTCAGGAATGCTTTTTGGCAAACTTTGGGCCCATTAATACCAAACAATCATGGCTTGAATGCCACAGCCTATTTGAGTATTGTTGCTGACCCTTTATGACCACAACTCACCCATCTTCTAATGGCTGCTTCCAGCATGATAATGCACCATGTCACAAAGCAAAAGTCCTCTCAAACTGGATTCATGAACATGACAATGAGTTCAGTGTTCTTCAGTGGCATTTCCAGTCACTGGATCTGAATCCAATAGAACACCTTACGGATGTGGTAGAACAGAAGAACCACAGCCTGAAAGTGCACCTGATGCAATCATGTCAACATGGACCAGAATCTCAAAGGAATGTTTCCAACATCTTGTGGAATCTACAAAGAAATGAGGCTGTTTTGAGAGCAAAAGGGGGCCCTACCCACTATTAGTATAGTGTTCCTTATTAAGCGCTTGGTGAGTGTTTACTGTTGTAAGTGAAATAATGGTTTGGATATTATTGTTTTCAAGAGAGTATAAGTCTCTTTCAGGGGAGCTAAGCTCCTCTGATTGTCCCATAATTCAAGCACAGATGTGACAGATTTTTGCATGGAAAACTTATTCGGAATACAATACTGTGCAAACACCATTTGTTTATTTAATTTACATGCAAAATGGAAATTTAGTACAAGACTCACTTTTCAGGAGATATTTCTAGAAAGATTACATATAAGATGATCTACATACAAAAGAAAAGAGGAAGTTCTGGACCACTCCAAATCATCCCAAGGCTCATGGGTGGCTGTCCCAGAGCATCCCATTCTATTATCATTGCTTTTCTATGTAGATAATACAACCTCTGTGTACACAATGTAATGCCTGTGCCAGCAACTGGTGCACAAGCTGCAGACTTTTGGACATATAGTGTCCAGTACTGATTAAAATGAAAAATGAATATGCTGTTATATCAGTATTGATTATATATCACCCAGTACTAACAGAGTGTTAGACAAAACCCAGGCCTGTGGTGATGGTGGTGTCACAAAGGCACTAGCTCATAAAAATGCAGTGGCAGGCTTTGTTCGCCTCTGTGGAAGCATGTGCTGACCTTTAACCTCCATGTTTGTGCTAGTGTCATGCGGCGATGGAGAGACTTACAACAGTGGGGACTAGGCTGGACTCGGCTGAGAGAAACATGAGAGAAAAATAAAGAAATAAAAGGCAGATGTGAAGCAGGAAAAGTGCTGAATGTCATTTTCTCTGAGATATTCTCTAATCTTGAGAGGAAAAAGGCACAAGAGACAGAAAACTGAAAGAAATAGAATGTGTTGTGGGGGTTGGGTGTAAGTATGATATACATTAACGAAACATTATCACAGTTGATAAAGGGGAATTTCACCCTTTTTTAACCCCTTAAAATCCCAGGCTTGTCACACACTAAGGCTTATTATTCAGTAACTACACAGACTTCAATGCAAACTGGTTGAGCTATTCTAAGGTCATAGGAGTGTGTAATAAAACACTTGGGCCCACAGGCAGGCCCTGGCCATTTAAGGGGTTAAACATTTGTGCAGAATTCAGTGGTTGAGATGTGAAAGTCATTCTGATTTCTTTATGGTGGTGGTCACGATGTCTACAGTGCAAATGTAGTCATTTTATTTCCTATCCAAAACCACCCAGTGAACCTACACGTCTGCTGAGTTTTATATGTAATGTTGATGATGTAAAAATAGCAGTAAATTTGAAAACAAACTACTTTTTGCCTTAGAACACCCTGCATGCACCTCTCCTAAATCATAAAATAATGTCTTAGCCATCAGACATATTTTTAAACCATTTTGTGTAACCGTTTATCGAAGTGTGCGTAGAAAGTGTTCTATATCTGTTTGCAAAAATCGGCTGTATGCACTAGAAAATAGGTATTTGTATGCAGTGAACAATGATAAATCCTACAATGTTCTACTTGTGCAGAGCATTGACAGCTGGGCTTATTCACATAAAGAAACACCCTGAAATTGCTATACATGGTAAACAACTTCCCTGTAAAAGTCACCAGTAGCCTATGAAGCAAATAAAAAGCTGAACTGAAGTGTTGCCTGTAAAACTGTAGTTTAAATGTGAAAAAATGCAACTTTCCATTTATCATTGAATAGTAAGAATTCAGTCTGAACATGCAAAAATGATTGAATAAACATTTGATCATTTCAATTCCAGTATATTTACAGTTGACAATTTAGTTAGAGCTAAGTGAATTTGTGCATACTCTAACATACTTCCTACAAGCAGAACCTGCAGTATTTTGCATACGCACGGTTAATTAATGAGACCCCTGGTTCCTCTCACCACCACTGACTAAGACCCAATCCTATTTCTCATGTTTACCCCTACCCCTTGTTTTGGAGTGTCACCTTGCCCCATGGAAATTAAGTTACAAGGGGTAATGGTTGAAATCTTCCTATGAAATGGAACAACCCTCAAATAAAGAAGAACATTACTTCATTAACAGGCTGCTAATGGTGTTCTATAGGCGACCCTGCCAGTCTGCAGTGACAGCAGAGGAGGGTAAAGTTTAGTTAAATTTAGGGAATTATATGCCTTTAAAGAGGCAAGAATAAAAATGATTTATTATCACCCACCCCTTCATTCTTTAGTGATATGAAGCTGAAGTCAGCTATTCAGCAGCTTCTTGTTTGAATTTTCCTGTTCCACCTTAAACACATTAAAATCATTCCACATTTAAGGTGGCACGAGAATTTTAGCTAGCTAGCTACCAAGACATCAGCATACTACTAGCAATTTTTATTGCTGGTTATGAAGAAATGGTGAGATGGGATTGGGTCCAAGTTTCTCTAGAATGGTGCATTTAAAATAACTCTGAAGGAAAGCAAAGAAGCTTATAACTTCTCATTATGTCCAGTTCCCTTATCATACTAGAGGTTGTAACACATCTATTAACACTTAACTAGCTTAACGTACAGTCCACAAGTAACTAGACAATGGCATAATCGGAGTTGGCAATGATCGGAATCAGATGATATTCAATCCTGACATGCAGTTGGCCAATTTTGGCCAATCTGTTTAACAATTTTATGATTTAAAT